ATTGAAATGAGTGATGCTGCTTTCCATAGCGACAACAACCTCGCATTTTTCATGCTTAGGATGCGCAATGCATTCATCCTGGGACTTTTGATGGCATTTCTTTTCCGTTACATGCAATGTGAATGCTATCCAAGTGGAGCAACGTTTTTCTAGCACATGACACGGTGGCTGAATATCGCATAATCTCGCCTAGACACACCAAGCCTTCCACAACTACGGGGTCGGTGGATTGCTTAATTGTACATCGGCTAACACTACAAGTTGTTGTACAGACCAAACTAGCTCTGTACTATAACGATTCTTAATGGAAGCGAAATGCGTGGCGCATCTCGATTGATATTGATCAAATCCGGAGGGCTAATTCTGCTTTTATCCTAACCATAGCGAAGCAAATGTTTCTCAGCGTAATATGCTTTCCGAAAATGTTGGATATAAACATCGCAACTAGATAGAACCGCCACCGGAAAATCACTGCGTTATCAAATAACTTATTTCACGACCGGCAAAAGTTCCTAATTCAACTCCAAATCAATGTTATGCAACTATAAGCAATCTCGCCATGCGCTCTGTCCCCCTGTCAAATCGAAATCTTAACGTTTTCTTCTTCTCTCTCTTAAGCACAAGACCGCTTCTGAGAATGGTATTCTGTTCAAACAAAAGCAATTATCATCTAAAAAAACTAAACGGCGAAACCACGGAGCCACCAATTCGACGATTTTCCATTTTCGACCAAAAGAAAAACAAAACCGATAAATTACCTCTAGGAGACCATTTACAATTCCATTGATTAGAGGAGTCGATGATGAGTCAATGTTCGACACTGGCTCACTTTCTAGTGCAGTTGTCATGGCAGGTAAGACACTGCCGTTTGGCGTTTTGGACACAACACCGCACGGCTGCGATGGTTCCAAAATAGCTGAAATGAGGCATTTTGGCGCATTCTAGTCGAAACCTAGCTGTAGGCTCATGTGATTAACGACTTTACCTTGTGTCTTTATAATTCGATTTTCGTTATTCGACAGCTGATGGCGGGGTATTGACCGCTCCTAAAAAGAGGCAACAATTAGATAAGCGTTGAGCATTCCGCGTGCAAATTATATAGGAAAAACTGGAAATGGATCGATATCAATTAATTGCGGGCTGCCGAGAATCTTTAATTTTTAATCCTTAGAATGTTCGAAATTCGCAGTTCGAGCAGTGTGAAAACGCTTTTGGAACGTCCAGTGTCACTGTTATGGTAGAAGAAATTCAAGAGACAGTTCCCATGAGACATCATCAAACCTATGCAGTCTCCCGATAGGTAAACTTTCAATTTCCGATTTATTTGGCAAAAAAATCGAATTCACGTTGAACTTGACTACAGACACCTCCATTCCTGATGAGCACTGATAGAGATAAGATCAGAAGTTCCAGCGTGATTACGACTTTCAATCATCACCTAAGCTTTCCAGCAAGAACAGCACTTTTATGTAGGGATGATTTCAATATGGGAATGTGCCTCGCTTTGAATTTGATGTATCATTATGCATTGCCTCATAAAAAGCAACAAAATGAAGAAGCAGTTTTGCCGAGTGCCGACGACACAAAAAAAGAGCTGTTGCTGGCGCGTTGCTAGGAATCGATTGCTCAGCACTAGCCCCTCTATCCCACATCAACACTAAATACAGCCAAAGGCGGCCAAGCCAAGTGAAGCATAGAAATCTCTCTCTAACGCATCCATCAAGAATCGTTTGCGTTGCCATCGTTCAACAAGCGCGAAATGGAGTTAACCCTTACCTCACTTTACTGTACATAAGTCAGCATGCGCGATCTTAATCCTATAAGTACTTCAAACGCTTTTGGAATTCAAAACTCAAAGAATGTCTTCAACACCTGCTACGAGTCCACCTTGATCCTTCATTGACACATGAAGGAGACCAGCAATTCCGAGCGAAATATGACCTTCACCTTTCCTGTTTAACTTCTGTTTTAAGCAATCCCTCCATTCAAAAGCATATATTTTCATATGGGGAGCGATAGTAGGATTTAAGATGCGTATCATTTCTGCCGAAAATGTGAATGAAACAGAACAGTGGTGCTTTCGTTACTACCATGAAGATATGAAGGAGAGACATGAAGGATTACTACAAAAAATAATAACCCTAACTAAATTTTAGTGAAAGGTGGGCGAACGACGAACAGCAGCGCATTAAAACCCACCGTAAAGCTGTCAATAATCTCTGTCCTAGTGCTTCGCTTGACATCCTCTATGGATGCATCTCGTCGCGATGAACGTCCTTTCTTCGATCGTAAATACCATATGAATAGAGCTGCTAGCGAGACACCGCTCAGCGCAAGCAGCAACGTACGCTGCGTGGCTGTCGATGACATGCTGAAAAAGAATTACAACATTTAGCGAGCTCTTGAATAAACTTCCAATGAGCTTGGAGAAAAACTGAACAAGCAAGCCTTTCTAGCGGACAAGTGGTACGAGTACCAGCTTTGAACTCAGTTTTTCAAAAAAAAATTAATATAACTTCAACGGAAAATCACTAAAGCGGCGGAACTAACTCAATGATCACTTATCAGAACAACTCATAACAAGTGGAGAACAAGAGGACAGATTTTTGGCTAATGGGTTCAAAAGAAAGCGGTGCACAGGAAATACTAACAACTTTGGCCATAGTAGTTAGAAATACTGTTTACAAATACTTCACAAAAGTTTTATTAATTTCGACTGTATTGCGAAGACTCGACAAAAATAGGATTTGTAGTTGGCTGGTAATGCACCCACTCTTTGTCACATACCCCTTCACCTCTATTACTTACGGTTCATTCAACAATAAGGTGGGTCTCCCTGCGGCAATTTTACACTAACCTGGACCTGGCCAGAACTGGAACAATTTAGGGAATGTAAAAAGGTTATGATAGTTTAGCTTTTGAATGGACTTGTCTGGTGCTTTCCCAATATCTCAAAGCTGTCGACTCAAACGCTCGAATTACAGCACATAAACTCAACTCGAATTACAAGCACGATAAATCGCTTGCGGACGACCATTCTCTATTCTACCCGGAACCAGTCTGAATGATCATATGCGATTTTAACGTCTTCCGCTTGAAGAAATCAATTTTTATGATCCGATGCTTCGCGCAGATTACCATTTTTCTTCCACGGAAACTTCACATTAATCAATAATAACACTTTCCTATCACACTTCAACTGTTATTTCATTTCGCTCGATTGAGAACGTAAATTCATCAATTATAATACCATTCACACTTGCGCCCAACATAATATGCACAGAGTACGACCAGGACGGTATTGAGGGTTTCAAATACTATCAAAACATTGAGTTACTGTGATGTTGGAAGTCTCAAAACGGCCGCATTATGAAGGGAGCCAATGCACTCCTGGAGGGGGAGGGGGAGGGGAGGGGGGGATGGAAAATCCGAAGTACGGAACCCACAGTATTCGAAGCTACTTAGTTAGGGCTGAGCTGGGGGAGGGAAGGAGTTCCGGGTTCGAGAGAATTCTTCACTTTTCCCGAAACTAAGGGATCCTTAAGCATTTTCATTTCTACCTTCTAGGCTTCGTTCTAGGGAGTCCCTCAGCATGGCAACGCTACGTGGCCTCCTCACCTACTGCGGCAACGCTGTTTTCGCCAAGAAAGCGCATTACCCAGTGGAGGTGAAAATTACTCACTTTATAACTTTCACAACAAAATAAAAAATTTGTTGTGGATTCGAATCCCCTGAGTTCACTGCTCCAAAATTTCCACCCTCTTGCAAGTACATGACGCCTCCTAGTTTTGTGCGAAAAGGATTAGCGTGCACAAATGCAAAAGCTCGTGGTATTCATAACAAACACCTCCAGTAGTTTTAAACATCATGGCAGTTGTAGCTCATAAGAAACGAGTGCTGGGACAATTCATTTTGCTGTACTAAAACAGCTGATCAAAGAACAACCTTGACATTTTCCTCTCCAATGTGATATCATCAACAATTAGCGCATAAAATATCGGATAACATCTGTTTTGAACTGAACTGTTTGTTAACCAACCTTGGGGTGATCCTACCACACTAGCGGAGGGAAAGCACGGCAAGTTACTTAAATCTTACTGAGTATTAATTAAACCACAATAGAAATTAACGGTCCAAATTCCAGTGTTTCATATCCTAACGAAAGGTGCCATCCTCCGAAACACTGCCATGAGCAAAATGAACAAATTTCGGCGCTAATGTCTATAGGGGGGACATTGAAAAGAGCAAGCACTTGCAGAACTTGGAAGACGTGAGTAACCTTTTTTCTGGGGCCGTATGCTATCCTCCCCTTAAGGGTTGGGGGACGAAAATCCCTTTGAATTTTCTCTGTCTTCCCAACTGGGATTGCCCTGATAAAGGGCCTACATTTAATGTATGTATGTAGGTAAAAGTAAACATGCACTGAAAATGAAGAAACTATATCGTCGTTCAAAACAAATAAATTTAAAGGAAACTTTGGATCACCTAGCT